GCCATGGTGCTGATGCTTTCTTTGTTCTGAATATTTTTTTTTTGCAGAGTTCATTTTGTTATTGTTGATTTTGTGTTTCCTAAGTCCTTGTGATTTTCTTCTTTCTTATTTTGGTTAGAAGGTTTATTAATTTTCTTAATGGTTACCCCATATAGTAAATTCTTATCTCCATAAGCTTGGAACCAACCATCGAGTTGATTCCACCTCATAGTGACCCCATGAGTTTCCAAGGTGGTAAATCTTTATGGAAGTAGATTGCCCCATCTTCCTTCCACAGAGCAACTGGTGGGTTTGAACCACCAGCCTTCTTGTTAGTAGTCAAATATGTTTGGCCCTGTACCACCAGAGTTCCTTAAGTTTGGAACAGTCTGTTCTATATTGACATCATCCTGACTTCCTCTCCATATGTGGAAGTTTTCTAATTATACCATTTATTTCCTCTATTTGCTTTGTAGTTGGTATCATTTACAGATTTAATCCTCTGGTTCTCTATTTTTCCATTTTGTAACCTTATTTTAGATTTTACAATTCTTTTCTTAGGTTTGTTTCTGGGTGGTGTTGTCATGTGTTGTAATCTTAAATTGTTTTCCATTGTTGGTTTACCGTCGGAAGGACTCCCTTTAGCATTTATTATAGGGTTGGTCTGGTTTTTACAAATTCCTTTCATTTCTGTTTTTCTGTGAATGTCCTGATTTCACCAGCATATTGAGGGACAGTTTTCTGGATATATAATTCTTAGTTGGCAACTTTTTTCCTTAAAGATTTTGTGTATGTCATCCCACTGCATGGTTTCTGCTATCAAAGTTTAGTCTTATTGGTTTTTCTTTTTAGATAACGTTTCATTTTTTTCCGAGCTGCTCTCAAGATTCTTTGTCTTTGTTTTGGAAAAGTTTAATTGTGCTTTGTCTTGGTAACTTTCTCTCGGGGTCTGTCCTATATGGGGTTCATGGAGCTTCTTGGATAGATACCTTTTCATCTGTCATGACATTGGGGAAATTTTGTGCTAGCAAGTCTTCAACAATTTTCTGCATAGGGTCCCCCTACCTCTAGTTGTAGAATTCCAATCAGGCATAAGTTATCTGTTTTGGTATCATTTAACTCTTAGGTTTTCTTCATTTCTTTTCATTCTTTTTTCTGATTTTTTTCCTCACACAAGCTGATATCAAGGGATTTGTTTTCTAGCGGGGATATGCATTCTTCAGCCAGTTTGAATCTACTCTTTCATCCTCTCAATACCTATCTCCATAATTTTAGTGTTCATCTTCTGGAAATCTGATTGCTGTTTTTGTATGATTCCTAATTGTCTACATTGTCATTTCGTACTTGTAAGATTTTCCAGGATTCTTCAAGGGCATCGCTTATCTTTTCTTTGATTCTGTTACATGGTTTCCTTGAGCTCTTGGAAAGTTATGTGATATATATTCTTTATTAATTCTTTATATATACTCTTTTGAATTTCTTATTATTTAGTTCTATTACCTGTTCTTCCTCAGAGAGGTTTTCTCTTTATTTTGGTCACTTGTGTCTGCTATGTTGTCCTGTTTCTTTGTTTGAAGTTGTCTGTTGTCTCCAAGAAATTTTGAAGTTGTTTTTATTTGTTGATTGTGTGTTGGTTTGTTTTGCCTTGGTTGTTTTGCTTTTCTTTCTATATATCTGGACAAGTAGGGTAGGGGTGCTTCTGTGATTAACTTGGCAGCTTGGCAGGACACTCCCCAGCTATCTTTGGATTGGTGGAATAACTGCTGAGAATGTGAGTGTGGGTCTCTGTCTGTCATGAAGAGGAGCTGGCATGATCAGGTGGTGTCCACCATTTGTTACTGATCCAGTGGTGTAGGAGCTGACAATGGGGCTTGTCCACTGGGTGAAGTGGTCAGTGCAGTAGATATGGCTGACTAGTGGACCATTAATGTCCTCTTGAATTCCTCCTGATGTGTCTATACTGTGTTATCGCTGAGTGGGATTCATGGTTTTTTTGTTTTTCTTTTCCCTCCTCATCAGCATCTGATGCCTCTATTCAAGATGGTCGTGCTTTGGCCAATCCTGGTCTCTTCTCTCTCCTCAGTCACTAATCTTGCTCCATGTCACTTTGCAGTCAGCGCTCAATTTAATTCTTAATCTTCTCACTTGATGCTCAGAATTCCAGGATCATTATTCGTATCTATTTCACTTGGTTTTTCTGGGTCTCTGTTGTAGAGGGATTGAGTGGAGTATGCTGACAGAACATCTGTCTCCACCTCTTAATTACAAATTTCAGTGAATATTTTAGAACTCCTATAATCTCAGAAAGTGAGAGTTCCCATTATTTATATTAAAAGCTTGCTTAACAAGTCTGATTCAACATTTGCTGGTAAGGGTGTCCCACTAACAGTGATGAACAATTTAAATCACAGCAAAAGAAAGAAAGGAGTGATGGTAAGACAGGTTCTTTGGCCATCCTTGGAAATGTCACACTTCCTGATATGCAGATGGCTTCCTAATTTTTCCATAAACAATGCTGATGTATGAGGTTGGCTGTGTTTTCCTCACAGTCTTAGACAGATATATATATATATATATATATATATAACACAGTGTTTACATTCAAGCTGAGAATAGACCACAGAGTCTGCTAGAATCACAACTCCAGCTTGTCCTTTTGGTAAATTCTAGGTCTAGTTGCATGTTTCTTGTGGCTTTAGCATTTCTGGTTTCAAAGCTTCTCTAGCCTTAGTTATAAAAACGCTGGCCTGAATGGAGCTAAGCCCTAATCCTGTTGCAGCTGCTATGCCTTTTTGTTAGTGCATTTTATCTCATTTTGTATTTCCTCTGTTTTCTAACTAGGTATGTAGCGGTACTAAGCACAGGGGCAGCTGGGCTTTTAAAATGGTCCATCTTGCCACAAATTCCCCATGAAAACAAGGACATGATGAAATGTTTTCATAATTTTCATCTACAGAAAGGGAGCCTACTGAATGCTCAGTGAATATTTAACATACAAATTCCTGTCACTTTTGAACTAGGGAACTTTCTATCATAGTTACTATCACTTAGAAGAAAGATGACAGTCTTTTTCTAAGTGGTCATAAAACTATTATTAAATAATTTCTTATCTTTCATGGTTGTAGGTGTTGACTAAGTTCAGCTGGATCGTTCTCTCATGTGGTTGAAGTAAGAGAACAGCTGGGGTGGAGTCATTTGAAGGCTTATTTGGCCAAGATACACAAGATGGCATCTTCATCCACGTGCCTGGGCCTCAACTATGTATAATCTTAGTGGGTCTGATTCTGTCACTGTCACTATCCTCCCCTTACTCTTCCATAGCATCTTCTGATCCTCTTGATGCCTCTAGCAGAACTGGTGAGGTATCTCCATGCCCTGCATGAAGGAATGGGTATAGGAAGGTCAAAACGCAGGTATTCTGGGGAGATAGTATTTGTCCTGCTTCACCTCACTGAACAACATCCAGACTGAGCACAGCCAGCGGGTAAGCCACGTTTGGCAACTCTGGGTTCAACAAGGTCAAGCAAGGTTGTTTATTACAGAGAACTTTAAATTTTAAAAATATTAATGCATACTCCGAGTCTTTAAAAGAAAAATATAATAGTAATAACCACTAAGCACTTATTTCTACACGACAACACTCTTAACTTCTTCCAGAAGAGTGAAGAATGTGGTTGGGCATTGCTGTTGAAACAAATTCATTCACTCACAAATACTTGATAGAGTATCTACATACATGCCCAGTACTGGGCTAGATTCTTATTATTAACAACAGCAGAAGGCAGTTTCTGTTCTCTGGGAGCTCAATAAGGGCATTCTGTGAAATACCACTGGAGGGAGACTATTAGAATCTGTTGTGACTGTGCGTAGGAAGGCCAGGACTAGAATCCAGTAGTAGTATACTTTGAAAATACCCATCCAGTGACCTGTGACCAACAACTTCATGTTTCAAGTTCCTTTTCCCTTAATCTGGCAATTGCAAGATTAAAATTAAGACCTACACTCCTATCACCTCTGCCATTGTTAAAACTTCCAAGAACGTGTTTCCTCATGTTCACTGGGATGAGCACTAGTAATTGGCAACTTCACTAAATCAGGAAAGTGTGGTTCTAGGAAGAGAGTCTTACATAGGATATGATAGTGAGCTAGATACACAATACTTGACCAACCTATTAATAAAAATCCAAGAAGTACTTTAGTATTTTATGTATCATTTAAGATTTGGAGGCCAATTTGAATTTTGGAATTCTTATTGTGAAGACTCGCGTGGTGTAAATAACCTGAGATTTTTCAAGTTCATGTTCAGAATACATAAATAAAGATAGGCTCTGGTCTAATCCACAGGTGCCTCCTTAATAGGTCTGTCTCTGCGGGGGCAGGGCAGGATGTGGGCAACAAGTAGCTCGTACAGTGACATCAGCAACACTGGCTTAATGCAGAATAGAAAACAGACAAAAATCTTCTTAAAGGTGCAGGAAACTATTATCATAGTTGTCTGGCAGCAAAACAAAAACTGAGTTTCCAAATCAAGAGTATGTATGTCTTGAAATCTATGGTACTTGGCCTAACCTGGGTTCTTTTCTTTCTTTAGAAAGACATTTTGCTGGTCATGCTGAGGACATTTTTACAGGATTGTTCATTGTTAACTCTCTTCAGAGTGGGGAAAAAAGATTTGAGAGGATACAAAGTTCCAGGCAGAAGGAACTATGCCTTTATACTGTCTGTGAGTTCTAAACACATATTTTATATAAAATTGAAGAAATCAGCACTTTCATTTTCAGAATAACTGAAGTACACCTGAAATTGCCTTGAGGTAGCTGTGTGCCTGGTCCATGAGTACCACACCACCAGTCTGTGTCCTTGCAGGGTCACAACTCAGTCCACGCAGAAGGCTACCGTCTCTACACAGCCGCCATCTAAGAGAGGTCTAATTCCATTTGGGACCCATTCTGAGGTTTTCTAAAGTTTGATAGACATTACATGATACCATGTAACAGGTGATGTTTTTGTCTTCTCCACAGAATGTGAATGGCATAAAATACCACGCTAAGAATGGTCACAGAACACAGATTCGTGTCCGCAAACCATTCAAATGTCGTTGTGGAAAGAGTTACAAGACAGCTCAGGGCCTACGGCACCACACAATCAATTTCCATCCCCCGGTGTCGGCTGAGATTATCAGGAAGATGCAGCAATAACATGCTGGTCATAACTGTGCCAAGAAATCCTCACCAGCAGTTGCTGATTTTCAAAACAGCCACCTTTTTCATGGGAAGCATTCAGCAACCCTTTAAAGAAAAAGAATTAAATGCATGCTTTAAATTTTTTCTGTAATTTTGGAATGATGTATCTTTGTAGAGTTAATGATTTTGTACATTTGCACATGTATTCATCATACCCATTTTCATTACTTTGATATAAGGTGCTAAACAAACAAACAGACAAAAAAAGCTCTAGGTTCTTCAGCACATTTCTCCCAAAACAAAATCAAACTGAGGGCGTGTTGCACATTGTTTAGTTGTACTGCAGTGATATCAATTGTTGAGGGCATGTTGCACATTGTTTAGTTGTACTGCAGTGATATCAACTGGGGGAGGAGGGGCTGGCACTGAAATTTTTATTCAAGATTGTAATGTGATTGAAGTTTTTCAACACATCAACTCACATATGTTCAAAACCAAAATAATACCTTCATTATCAAACTGGTTACCATGCCTTACATAATGGAGTTAGTATTTGTGAGTAGAAGGACTTTAGGTAATGGAAATATAAATAAGAATGTTTAACATAATATGCTAAAAATATTTTCATATTTAAATAACATACATAAAAGGTGTGCTTTCTGTGTTTTATATAATCTTGCAAATCTTTTTTCCCTTTAAAAAGCTGAAAATCTTGCCATCTGACTTACCATTCATCTTAGTGTTATAAATGGAATTTTTGTACAAAATAGTCTATTCAACTCACTCATAAATTCCACATGCATTCGCTGAGTGCCTGCTGGGTGCAGGGGATTCCATTTATGCCTATTTGTGGACCAAGATACCAGTTTAGTGAAATACTTTTCCCTGAAATCTGTTAGCAAACACTTTGAAGTACTCAAGTGCAAAATTTGTGTGTGTGAAATTTAGTTTATATCTTCATCTTCAGATGAAGTTTTAAAGCACTTTGTAGTTCTCTATTGCCAACAGATTTAATGTCTTATGTGTTGCCAATTTTGCAATCACTGCCCTAACAAACCTATGGGTTTGCAAAAAAAAAAAATTAAAATTCTAAGCATGTTTCAAAGAGGAATGTTTTTGTTAAGATCCCCATCGTCGCCTCTTCTTCACGCTCATTGTATAAGGCCTTTTTTTTCTTTTTTCTTTAAGGCACTTTTCCTATCATATTGTAGATGTCTGCATTCCCATTGAAAATGGTCTGTTTAGCTTTATAAAACATTTTGCCGAAATACGAAATTGAGCCTTATTGACAATTAAGTGCTTCTTGAAGCAGGTGGTCGAAGAAAGAATGATTGATGTGACCTATTAGAGAGTAGCCCACATCTGGACCATTCCTGAGTTTTCCTCACCAACAATACCATCATGCCTTGAGTGTTCTTTTCTCCCAAGTGCTATTCCTTAAACATGAGAGTTTACCAATTGCCTGATTATGCAATAAAAACTGCTCTGAGACAGCTAACTGCCCACACAAAAAACTGGTGAAAAGCAAATTCTAATCACTTATAAAATAGCTTTCTTCCCATGTTCACATTTGATGAAAAGTCATACACACAGCTGGGAAGCAGGTGTCCCTCCTCAGTTCTTCAGATTTAAAAGGATGACAGTTCTGTTAGCCAGATGGGTGAGCTTCTATATTCATAAATTGTGAATCCCTCATAGTGAGGGATTGTAAAGTATTTATAAAGACACTGCCCTCTAAAAGTTTCCCTCAGATCTCTGTAGAGTGGTCTCAGTTCTGAATATAGTGTTATCCTGTATGTTTAAAAGGAATGATCCAGACACGAGAAGCAACTGGTTGGTGCACAAGAAGGCCCTGTTGGCTATTTCGTATCTACCTACAACTGACTAATAACAACATTTTTTAGGCCAACAATAATTTCGCTTTGCTCCTAGTGCAAGAAACTGCAGGCTGGATCAGTAGTTCAACAGCTAAACAGTCATAAAGATCATTGTGCATGTTAAATTTCTTTAAAGTATAAAACAAATTCCAATTTCTATTTACTTATTCATTGTGACAGTATTACTAAACAGGTAAGGATGGGAATATTTTGTTATACCATGTATAGTGAATGTATTGTACTGTGTCTGTGAGAACTGTGCTTTAAATTATATTTTCATATGTTTTGTTGAGGACAGAGCACATTAAGTTTGAAAGTGACAGAGGTTTGTTTTAGAACTGAAGGCAACTTAGTGAATTGAAATTCCTGTCAAGAAAAGCTGCTTATATAAATGTAAATGAAATCACATTTAAAATAAACTGCCTCTGACCCAAAATAAACATTGCTCTTTCTTTTCATTAGCATCTATTATGAAAACCAGTATCAAGTTTAGTACGGCAACTAAGACAGCCATTCCGCACCTTGCACCATCTTAGACTGCCTGTTTTTGTATAATTCAGTTAATACATGTAGAGTTTATTCTCAACTTTTTACTTAGACTGCATTGCTTTTCTATTTATAACAACCTATCATGAGCTTGGGCCAAAAACTTAAAAAGTTTTACACTAAGGGGATGAAAGATCTCACTTCACTAGAAGTAGTACTGTAATGTTTAAAGGATATTTTTTGATTAGCATGATCCATAATTATTAACTGATGCAAAAGAAAAAAATGTTCACGTCATTGAACAAGTTTACTTGAATACAATCTGCTTCTCATATAACCTATCGGGAAGCCAAGACATGGAATCTCCAACACTGTTATCTCCCCAGACAGCCATTTTCTAACATCTGGCATCTACCTACCTAATGCTGGTTTGTGTTTTATACTCAGAAATCTTTTTTTAAAGAATTCCAGCAATACACAAATTCTGCTTGTAGACAACATGGTATGTACATAGCTAATACACAGCACTCCAAAAGACCACCAAGTCTGAATACTGGGTGAACATCTTAAACAGCTAATGTGTTTTGTTGTTGTCAGGTGTCGTCGAGTCAGTTCCAACTCATGGCAACCCTGTGCACAACAGAACAAAACCCTGCTGGGTCCGCGCCGTCCTCACGATTGTTGCTATGTTTGAGCCCATGTTGCAGCCGCGGAGTCAGTCCATCTCACTGAGGGTTTTCTTTTTCACTGACCTCTACTTTATCAAGCATGATCTCCTTTTCCCCAGGGACTGGTCCCTTCTGACAACATGACCAAAGTACAGGAAACAAAGTCTGCCCATTCTCGCTTCTAAGGAAAATTCCGGCTGTACTTCTTCCAAAAACAGACTTGTTTTTGTTCTTCTGGCAGTCTATGGTATTTCAGTATTCTTCGTCAACACTGTAGTTCAAATGCATCTATTCTTCCACAGTCTTCCTTATTCACTGTCCAACTTTCACTACCATATTGAGATGACTGAAAATGCTGTGGCTTGGGTGCTTAGGGCAACCTTAAGTATTTTGGTAACTACAAAAGCAGTAAATCCAATGTGAGAACAATTCTTAGTATTTTGAAAGAGAAAAGAATACAGTTCATAAACTTTGTAAAGGCCCAGACCAAAAAGAGATGCTCAGTATGCTTGGTCAATTACTATCATGAATATGACAATGAAATTACCCACAAACCTCCACATGTGTGTCCTCTTTAATACTCAGAAGAGTTCCATTCAGCAGGAGAGACATAACTAAAAGAATATAGTACTTTAATTTAGGTTTATATGCATTCATTTTTAATCACTTACTGAGAAATGAGATTTGAAAATTATAGTCTCATCAGGAAAATGTGAAAAAGATCCTGATACATATTCTATGATTTTACACCATAAATACATTTAGTAGCTTGTTCATTATGAAAACAATTGCTCTGACTTATCTTATTCCATCTTCCCATTGTTGTTGTTGTTATGTGCCGTCGAGTCAAACCCGACTCATAGCGACCCCTCCTTGGGTTTCCGAGGCAGTATCACTACGGAAGTAGGATTGCCCAACCTTCCTTCCGAGGAGTGGCTGGTGGGTTTGAACCGCCAGCCGTCTGGTTAGCAGGCAATTGATACAAATATTTCAAGATAGTTGAAAAATAATCACTGAAGTTATTCTAAAAACTTTTAGTCAAAATTAGTGCCCCAAAGCAAAACAAGCTACTCTATTCTTAAAGCAAACATCATTGCACATATAAAAAAGGATATTTGCAATACTGCAAGCATGTTACTTCATTCCACATGCAGCTCCATTTCTGTAGTTTGTTTTTTTTTAAAGAAAAAAACCAAAGGCAGTCCCCAAATTACAAACAAGTTCCATTCCTAAATCTGCCATATAGTCAAATTTGTACATAAGTCAGAATAGTTAGGTACAGTTCATATCTAATGCCACTTGGTCATGTTTGTCTTAGTATATCTTGCTATGCTTAAAAAAAAAACCACTCAAGCAATACTTCCAAATCCACTAAAATATCTTTAACATAATACAGTTGTAATAATGTTTTGATGTGCATCACAAAGTAGTGCCTGTTTGTTATTACAAACCATTTATATACTTCAAATTTTTAATATAATAGGCTTTAATGGGGTTGGTCTATAACTAAGGGTTATACATAAGTCAAACATTTGTAACCTGGGGACTTCCTGTAAAATTTCATGGGCTAAGTTATGGAACTTTTTGTATTCAAAGAATTACTTCACGAGACTATTAGGATGAATTTTTTTTATTACACAATATTTTGTAGCCATGCTCAATCAACAAAGTTCAACAGAAACTTGTAAATCTGCTAAGTAATGTAACACACTATACATATTTTTTCAGTGTGGTAACATTAAAATAATCCCTGCAACCTTTTTTCATACAACTTCACAAGCTAGGGAATAAATAAAGATATAAACATACAAGAACTTTTCTTAAAGCAGATAAGATTAACAGGTTAAAATTTTATTTATTGATAAGCCAAAGATTGACCCTGACCTTAGTAACACCAAACTGCAAAGGAGCTCTTGTTCAGAAAAGTGTGAAGGAGGGTACATGAAAGGGTGTCTATTGGAGGTGAATTTTTTTTTTAACTGCTCAACTATATTAACTTATATTAAAAGTAATTAGTCAAAATTTAAAACATTCTGATCAAAATGGGTCTGAACATGCCTTTCAAACCCCTGCTGGTCATAGTCAGGAGGGAACTGTTCACTGCACATGGGGCACACCTTCCAGTGACTTTCCACGTGTTCTTCAAACTTGGTCTGATCATAGTTGGGAGGGAACATTAATTCACAGAGGGGACACTTCTTGTGAACATCAAAGCTTGAAGAAACAGGATAGATATAATTACACATTTTTAATAAATTTTGTAACAGTAAATAAATCTTCAGTATATGACAAGGTTACATATAGCTGGTTAATGATACACTAAACAAACGACTCAAAGCCTTGCAAGTCTTTAATTGCTATAGAAAGTTCTTTTCCTGCTCCTCAATGCTGACCATTTAAAACCCATTTACAAAGGCTCTAAACTTAGTCTTACAATTAAATTTTTTTTTAAAAAAAGTTTTGCTTTGTCGAATTTTCAAAAATACAACTTACATTATGCTGAAATGAAGCTTAGTGCCAAGAATTTTTTAATTTTCAAGTAACAGAAGAAAACTTTTTCATAAAACTAAGGATAAACACAACTCATAATTTCCTAACAGCATCCATTTGGTTTGACAACTAAGATTTTTTTATAGTAAAACCAAAAAAACCAAACTCACTGCCATCTAATTGGATCCGACTCATAGCAACCCCTCCTTGGGTTTTTGAGGCAGTACCACTAGGGAAGTAGATTGCCCAATGCACCACCATCACCCCAAGGACTTGTTAAAATATATATATATGCTGGGTCCCACCCCAGAGTTTCTGGTTCAGCAGGTCTGAGACAGGGCCCCAAGCATTTCCATTTCTAACAAGTTCCCAGGGACTATACTTTGAGAACCACTGGTCTATATAATACAAACTCTACAAAGAAAAGAAAAGAATTACCTGGAATCAAAGCAAAAGCCTGTCCCATGCCCACGTAAATGCTGACCTGGAGGATCAGGAGCAGTGGGTACATTTTCATCTTCCTAGGAAAAATAAAAAAATTGCCACTTTTGAGAAAAGTGAAACTTAACCAAAATTCCTTAATTCAAACAAGCACACTTTGAGAGTATAAAGGAAATAAAATTACACTTAGGTAATTTTACATCTACCTCAAACATACGTTTGAAAGTAAATTTTACAGAGTATTTCATCACTATGGACTGATAACAGTCTTACCTTCTTGAAATAAAAAGTAGCATTCAACGGAATGGCAAGTAACCACACCTTGTGTGTGAATGAAGATGCAATGAGAACTTTTTGAACCTACAGATAGGTGAATTTACTGATTTGTTTTAATAATGCCATAGAGTGGTTGACCACTTTCATGAAAATCTTACTGTGTTATTTGTCCCACCATTCTCGCTTAGGAACTTAAATTTGCAACAAAAGAGTCTTCTTTGACCTGACAGAACTACTGTGTAATAAACAAAAATCATAAAGAACGGAAAACTAATAAAATATGTGTGGTTTGTGTATGTATGTTCTTGGGCACAGACATGGGCAAATCCAACTGGAAAATACATGATATAGAGCAAAGCAATGCACCAAACTACAAGTCTTAACAACACTGGTTTGGATTTACATGCCTGCAGCCCAGTGGTAAGTATCTAGAGCTCGGTACATGCGGCCTCGACAGCTAAACACGGAATTTCACGCAACATTTAAAGCAGCGTCCATCATCTAAACTGCCCATTGCTTTCTTCCTCTCAGCAGCTCTATGAGCTGCTCTGATGTCATGAACAATAGCACATAAACAGATGTAGCAGGCACTGACAAAAGTCCTTCTGTTGCTGGGTAATTGTGCTTGCCTCAGAGCTGCTATCAATGGGCTAATTAGTTAAGTCTGTCACAGGAAGAGGTACCAAAAACAGGGTATGTGGTATGAAATGTGAAGTAAGCAAACAAAAGACAGATTAAAAGTCTTTTTATTTTGTACTTGGCTGTCACTATGACCATTTGTATGCTAAGGCCAAAGTCAATACATGAGAGAGAAGACGGTGCCAATGATTCTGCATAACTTATTTAAAACTAGAGAAGTAAATACATACCTGGCCCTAGAATGCTTTGTATTATGACATAGTATTAGTCAACATCCCTGTTCTTTAAGTGAGATGCTATTGTTAAGCTCTGTCAGATACTCATTTATAGTAATGTATATAATGACAATAAAAGGGTTAACACTCAACTCTACAACTTAAAAGGTTTACAAAATTCAGAAAGTAAGTAACTGCAATGTCTGTATTACTTTTCAAAATGTCACTTCTTTTCATATACAAAAATTAACTCAAATTGGTTCAAAGGCCTAAAGGTAAGAGCTAAAACTGTAAAATGTAAAAGTCTTAGAGGTAAATATTCATGACTAGATTAGGCAATGGTTTCCTAGACACAACAAAAGCACAAGCAAAAGGAGAAAAAAAAAATTGGACTTCATCAAAATTAACTTTTGTGCTGCAAAGGACATTATCAAGAAAGTAAAAACAACCCAAAGTATAGGAGAAAATATTTGCAAATCATGTATCTGACAAGGGATTTTTATCTAGAATATACAAAGAACTCTCACCACTCAATAATATTATTAAAAGACAATCAAAAAACAGGCTAAACTGAGCATTATGCTCTTCTAAGAACTATCTAGGAGCTCTGGTAGCATAGTGCCTAAGGCACTTGACTGCTAACCAGAAGGCTGGTGGTCCAAACCCACCAGCCACTCCTCAGGACGGTTGGGCAATCTGCTTCCTTAGTGATACTGCCTCTACTTCCTTAGTGATACTGCCTCGGAAACCGTAGGAGGGGTTGCTATGAGTCAGGTCCGACTCAAGGGCATGTGACAACAACAACTATCTACATGGGAACAAAGTGACAAGAGCAATTCAAAAGATTAGAAAGGAAACTTAGGGGTCAGTGAGTTCATGTTAATGGAGGAGGAACAATTCAGAAAAGGAGGGTGAGAATTGATTATACAACTCAAAGAATATAATCAATATCACTGAATTGTACATGTAGAAATGGCTGAACTGGTGTATGTTTTAGGAGTCCTGGTGGCGAGTGCCTAAGGCATTTGACTGCTAAATTATTATCAATTAAATTAATTTTTATTGTGTTAACTATATATGTAACAAAGAGAGCTCTAGTGGCGTAGTGCCTAAGGCATGTGACTGATAATCAGAAGGCTGGTGGTCCAAACCCACCAGCCACTCCTCGGAAAGAATATTGGGCAATCTGCTTCCGTAGAGATACCCCCTCGGAAACCCAAGGAGGGATGGCTATGAGTTGGAACCAACTTGCTGGCACAGTGAGCTTGGATTTTTGGTTTGGTGTATGTTCTGCTGCATATACGCTCAACCACAAAATAAAATATAAAAAGAAAAAAAAAAAAAAAAGGCAAAGGATCTGAATAGACATTTCTCTAAAGATATACAAATGGCCTATAAGAACAGGAAAAGATGCTTCATCATCATTAACATCTGTGAAAACGCAAATCACGCCGCAATGACATCCCACTTCTCATCCACTAGAATGGGCTACAATAAAGAAGACATGAAAGTAAGTGGGAGAATGTGGAGAAACTGTAACCTTTATCTATGCTGGTGGGAATATAAAACGGTGCAGGCACTTTAGATAGCATCTCACAGTTCTCGAAAGGTTAAATATAGAGTTACCATATGACTCATCAGTTCTACTCAGAGGTATATACCCAGGAAAAAGTGAAAATATGTCTGCATAGTAACTTATAAACAAATGTTTGCAACAGCATTATACAGACTAGTCAAAAACTGGAATCAACCCACTGTCCATCAACTGTTGTTGTTATGTGCCGTCGAGTCACACCTGACTCATAGTGACCCCTTCTTGGGTTTCCAAGGCAGTATCACTACAGAAGCAGATTGCCCAACCTTCCTTCCGAGGAGTGGCTGGTGGGTTTGAACTACCAGCTTTCTGGTTAGCAGCCAAGTGCTGTAGGCACTACGCTAACAGTCCATCAACTCATGAATGGAAAAACAAAATGCAATAGATCTATACAATGGAATATTATTTGGCAATAAAAAGGAATGAAGTACTGATATATGCTACAACAAAGATGAACCTTGAAAACATAATGCTAAGCAAAAAAAGCCAGTCACAAAAGGCTACATATGATTTCATTTATGTGACTGTCTATACTACACATATCCACAGACGCGCAAAGATTAGGGGCTACCTAGGGATGAAGGAAGGGGAGGGGCGTGACTGCTAAAGGGTACAGTTTCTTTTTGGGATGATGAAAATGTTTAAAATTGATTGTGATGATGGTTGCACAAGTCTGAATATACTGGAAACTACTGAATTGTACAGCTTAAACCACTGAATTGTGCAGTATGTGAATTATGTCAGTAAAGCTGCTGTACCTAAAAAAGTTACTGCTCTAAGATAACTAAGATTTACTGTTAAATATAGGCAGAAAATATAAATTAAAAGCATCTCTTTAACTAAAAGCATTAATCACAAATGTTTAAACAGACTCTACTACATGAAAGATGTATAAAAAATAGATAGTATAAAAAAAGGCAAAATTCAGCATTAAGAGATGCCAACCAATGTCTATTGCACCAACTGGAATAAGCACGTATAAAAAATATTCATTTAACCTTTTAGCTGAAGTCCAATCTTTTTTTTTTTTCCTGTCATACTTTTTATCTCAGAAACCACTGCCTGATCTAAAGTTGCAAAGATTTACCTTTGTGTTTTCTTCTAAGAGTTTTGTAAGTTTTTGCTCTTACTATGAACCAATTTGAGTAACCTTTTGTGCATGGTGTAAGTAGAGATTCACTTCATTCTTTTTGCATGTGGAGATCCAGAGGTCCCAGCACCAGTAGTTGAAAAGACTATTCTTTTCCCCGATTGAATTGTCTTGGCACTCGTGTCAAAAAATGAATTGACTCTCTCTATATAAGTATATACTACTTTAGAAGCTCCTGGTAGCACAGTGCCTAAGGCACTTGACTGCTAACCAGAAGGCTGGCTGGGCAATCTACTTCCACAGTGATACTGCCTCGGAAACCCAAGGAGGGGTCTCTATGTGTCGGGTCCAACTCGACGGCACGTAACAACAACATATACTACTTTTGTAAACAAAAGGCACACTGGTTATATTTAAAATACAGGTAGTCCTTGGGTTAAGAACACTCAACTTACATACAACTGGTAGTTAAGAACCAATCCCCATAAAGTCTATTACAGTGAAAATCTGAGGTACCTACAGCTCATAATAACAAACAGGCATACTTTGCAACACACATCAAAACATGATTATTACTGTATCACGTTGAAGATATTTTAGTGTATCTGGAAGTGTTTCTTTAATGTTTTTTATGCATACAAAGGTACAATATATATACTAAGACAAACATGTAATTAACTGACGTTCGATAGGAACGTACCTAACTTTTCCAGCTTACGTACAAATTCGACTTAAAGATAGAAATAGATATTGTTCGTAATCCTGGCATTGAATATAGAAAATTTTAAATCTAAAAATAAATTTTTTAAACACATGAAAAATATCACAAAATTTGAGAAGACAAAAACTGAGTGCACCATGACAGGTGGGAAACAGGCCTTGATTCTTTAGAACAGCGGTTCTCAACAATTATGAGGTCCCGACCCTTTGAGCATCAAGGACTGTTTCGAGAATGGAAACTAAAAATTCACCAGGAAAAATAATGATGTACACCAAGAAAAACTGTCTTTAGTTTTGGGGGTTCACAGTGAATGATAATTCATGTGGAAAACAAACAAATCATGTATTAATAGAATGTGTGACCCTCACTCTTTCAGAGAGAGAGGGGAGGGGAAAGGAGGAGTGAGGCCACTCCAGGTGGAAGGGAAACACTGAACAAGGCATGAAAACAACTGGAAAGTCGGGTGTGTGTTGAGGGAAGAAAGTGATCCAGCCTTGAATGATGGAGTAAGAAGTTTAGACCAGTGCATCCCCAACTTTAATGAGCTTATGATCACCTGAGAATTTTAATAAAATGCAATCTGATTCTAAGTAAGTCTGGAGTGGGGCTGGAGATTCTGTATTTCTTATAGGCTCCTGGAGATACCAACACTATGAGACCATAAATCACATTTTTGAGCTGCAAGGTTTATACTGATGGTTCCAAAACCTGTGTACTAGGGTGCCCCAAATCACCACAGCAAATTCACAGGAGTACACTGGGATAGTTTTAATTTTCTAGACACATACAGAAATAGATACCACGAGAACTACTAGTTTGAGATAGCTCACAGTTTTAACATTTGATAGTGCTACATTCCCCTCAACAACATGGTATCTTTGAGAAGGTGGGTTTTGGGCAGTTTAAGCGCTCAGCTGTGAAATACGAACTGAAAGGCCAGCAGATCAAACCCACCCGCCACTCCATGGAGGAAAGATGTAGCAGTCTGTTTCCACAATGATACAGCCTTGGAAACCCTATGGGCAATTCTACTCTGACCTCCAGGGTCACTGAGTCAGAATCAACTCGAAGGCAAAGGATTCCCATGTGAAAACCAGTGTGAAACAGGAAATGAGGGTCCAATGTGATTCCAAGGTTTGAGAAGTTGTAAAGTGGCCAACAGGCACTATTAGTAACTATGGTTATTTAAGCATGAACAAAAATAGTATTTTTTAATTTATGCATATTATTCTTTTCAAACGGCTACTACAATTGTTAGGACAGATATTAAAGTTGTTTGGACCCAATTAACGAATATAATGTTACTAATTTTTTTACAACAGCCCTAGGCCAAAAAAATAACTAAAGTATAATAAAGGTCCTATGAACTGAGAAAGGCTGGGAACCTTCCTGGTTCAATCTATTTTATAGGTGGTTAAGACCACACTTTCTACTGCCAACTAATGAGACTCAAATCCTGACTTACCCTCACTATCTATGTGACTTGGGGCAAGCTACTTAATCTCCCTCTTCTCAGTTTCCTCCACCATAGAATAAAGATAATGACAGTTCCTACTTCATAGGATTGCTATGAAGAGTAAATGGCTAAATATATCTAAAGAGTTTAACCCAGGTTGGCAAATAGAACGAGAGAAGCATTTGTTGCCATCATCATCGTAACTGTGATGTTGTAGTTATTGCTATCGCAATTATTAGCTAAAAGAGAGTCATAAAAGGGTTTTGATAGTTGACCACAGCTTCTGGTGCACAGAACAGATACATGGCAGCTGCAGGCACTGGAGCAGGCTAGAAGAGGCGACCTCAACCCTAGCTCACAGTGCTGGGTCCTGGGGTGGTTTATCATTCCCAAGGCAGAAAAAGCAGAAAAGGAACAGGTCAACTCAAATTTACTTTCCTTATTTTTACTAAAATTACTAATTGAAATACTTCATCAGCAAGTGAATCTTCTTGTTGTAATGACAGGAAATTTAAAGAAAACAAGTTCTGAGTATACATAAAAATGAGTTTCTGTATATGAGAAAAATCTTCTGATTGCAAAACACAATTACCCAAGGTGTGCGTATTAAGAGTCCTTCCATCTCATTACCAAATCTAAGTATGTCAGCAAATGAGCACAAGACTCTTACACTGCTTCTCATGGTATGCAGGAGGGCAAAGCATACAGATCAGAAAGAACATTCTGCTAATTAAACTGACGCAGATGACTACAGAAGAGAAGGGCTTGTCACATGTAACGTCTGTGCCAAGAATGATCAGATTAAATATGCAAAATGTGAAGTAAAGGTGTGAAAATGCAGTAAGATGATACTCTAGACCTTAAATAGACTACAAAAGTTCTGACAGTTTTCCTAATTATTGCCAGTAATGGACATATGAGGCCAAAAGGCAGGAGGGAGAAATACATTTTTCTCCATTATGGGTGCTGAACACTAGGGCTAAAATCATGCCTGTCTGAACACTGATCAGTTTCTACAAAGGTTAATAGCAATTAAATGCAGCAAACTAGATTAAATGAGAAACAGGTCATGATACTGCTGTACTTGCAAAGAGCACAATAAAGCATTTCTTTTAAATCCATCTTATGCACAGGAAATCTAACAGAAGCTGTTATGAGGAAAAGACACCTGTTTATTAAATGGTTAAGAAATCTCTTGAATAAAATTTTTAAAAATCATGACAAGTTACACTAACTAATTCAATTATCATTAGTATTTTGTTGCTGCCAAAGAATAAGTGCTGCTGTTATTGTTGTTGTTACGTGCCGTCGAGTCGGACCCGACTCATAAGGAGCCCTCCTTGGGTTGCCAAGGCAGTGTCACTACGGAAGTAAATTGCCCCATCTTCCTTCCAAGGAGTGGCTGGTGAGTTTGAACCACTAGTCTTCTTGTTAGCAGTCAAGTGCCTTAGCCACTATGCTACCAGTGCTACATAACATTAAAGATGTCTAAAAAAATATTTCTAAGAAAAAACTAATATGTAATACATGCTGTTGTTGTTTGCCGTGGAGTTGGACCCAACTCATAGCGACCCCTCCTTGGGTTTCCAAGGCGATATCACTTCGGAAGTAGATTGGCCAACCTTCCTTCCAGGTACCCCTCTCTATTTTTTCTAGCTAAAGATAAGCCTGAGTTTAAAAATTCAAACTGGAATATAAATGCTAACATGAAAATAAACATACAACTGAAGCATAGTATTGCCACTAACACTTTGCCTCCTCCAGTCTAGGAGATCTATATTCACAAGAATATAAGAAGCTACTTAGTAGTAAGTGATGATTAAGATTGAGTTATCTGATAACCACAAATATCTCAGATCTGAACTTAATCTTTTACTTAGAATAAGTCCTGAAGTATCAATCTGAAGCATGTTTATGGTTGATTTTCCGAATTTAAATGCTAGCCAGTTTCCCAAAAATAAGTAAGCAAGCAATTACATGGACACACTAGTGTGAGCATCTCTCCCCACTTCCTCCCTAAAGAAGAGAAAAAACTAAAGGGGCGGGCTCAGAAAATGGAAAGTCAGTTTACTTTGCTATCCTCAGGGTCTTCTAAACCATCAGGCCGACTAAGATTTCGAGAAGGCTGGCTGCAGACAACATTGTCTTCCAGTCCCCAAGAGTGTACTCTAACAGGTGGCCTTTGAATTTCATCTGGATAAAAAGCGCCATCTGCTCCATCTGCAATAAAAATTTGGGAAGGGTAGGGTGAAACCTGATATGCAAATTAATATCTCTATGTATAAATAAAGATGAATGGATCTGCAGAACCATTTGGGGGCATTTAAAAAATAGATGTTTTTATTTTTAACTTAAGTCATTTTAAAAAATGAGAACTATAAGCAAATAAGCAAGTAGACTACTGATTCATGATATCACCCTTTACTGATGTTATACATTATATGATTTTAAACATTAAAATTGCATATTACCACACCATGTTCATTGCAGGACTATTTACAATAGCAAAAAGATGGAAACAAACCTACGTGCCCATCAACAGAAGAATGGATAACCAAACTATGGTACACACACACAATGGAATACTATGCAACACTAAAGAATAACATAAAATCTGCAAAACATGGATGAATTGGAGGACATTATGCTGAGTGAAATAAGTCAATCACAGAAGGACAAATGTATTAGTTCATTATTGTAAAAAGTCATATGGGAAGGAAGCTTTCTTTGTTGGTTACCAGGGATGGGAGGGGAGAGGAGAGAACACTGGAGCGGGAGGAAGCACTGACCCATGTTACTTTAGTTTTTTTTTGTGTATTTCACTGTACATAAATTATATTTCAATAAAATGTATTTTTTTAAAAAAACCGCATATTACACAAATAAAATAATGTTTCCACTAGAGCTGACTATTCATTCTCTAATCCCACTAAAATATAAACCAAAAAAAAAACAAAACCAACCCTATTAGCCTCAGCTAACTTAAAACCAAAATATTTCAATCACCTCTTGTTTCCTGTGTTGCATAGGGATTACCATATTGCAGAACTGGTTGTTCACTTGCCACTGCAGGAACATGACCATTTTGCTCTGTGCTAAGACACGGCGAGACCTGTTGTGGACTCTGGGAATTCTGCCCTTCCATTTTCCTTCCAGCTTGATTTTCTAGACTCCTTTTAATTTCCTGAAAGTAGCAAAAACAAAGGTGAGTAAGCAAAGCAATAAAATATTTTACAAGAAGAACAGCACTGAACATTTAGCCAGAATATAACAATAAAAGTATTTCCCTAGCATGTTTTAAGTATGCAGTTGGAAAAGCTGGCTCTCAACCTCCTATAAATGCCCCTTCCATGTATAACAAAATCAGAAAGCAAGATAAACCTCAGTGGTATTTTCAAATTTATTTGTGCCAAGAAATTGCCCTTTTCACTGCGCTAGTTTAAGCTAGGAAAACTATGAGCCTCTTACAATTTGATTATTCATAAAATTAAAAAGAAATTTTAAAAACCAACCAGATTGTGTCAATGATAAAATCTATCAAACATTTAAGAAATTAAAATAATTCCAAACTAATCTTGTACAAACACTTTCAGAAAAGAGAGGAAAAAATACTTCTAACTCATTTTATGAGCCGAGGTACCAAAACCACACAAAGACCTCACAAGAAAAGGACAGACCAATATCCCTAATGAATAGTGATTCAAAAATCACTAATATAACAGCAAATTAAATGCAACAATATTAAAAAAGAACTAATACATCATAACTAACTGGTTTTATCATAAGAATGCAAATTATTTTAACATCCAAAAACCAATGCAATCCATCGTTAAAAGGAGGAAAAAAAACATATGGCTGTTTCAATAGGATCAGAAGAAAACATTTTAAAAATTAAACACCCATATAATTTTTTTTTTTTTTTTACATCTCAGAAGATTAGGAGTAACAAGGAAATTCCTCAACCTGATAAAGGGCATCTAACAAAACCTACAGCTGACCTTTTTTAAAAAAGACTCAAATGATTCTACCTAAAATCAATAGTAATGCAATGATGGCTGTTTATACCACTTCTATTCAACACTGTACTAGAGATTCTACACAGTGGATTAAAGCACACAGACTGGGAAGGATTCTTTACTCTGTCTTTATACATAGATGATATTACCGCATATATAAAAAATTCTGAGGAATCTACAAAAGTTATGAGAAAACTGAATTTAGGAAGGTCACCAGGTACAATGTCAGTATACAAGATTAACTGTATTTCCATCAGCCACAAACAAATGGAAAATGAACATTTTAAAACTGCCATTTACAGTAGCATCAATAAAATAGCTAGGAATAAATTTAACATAAAATTTGCAAGACCTAAACACTACAAAGAACAAAACATTGGTGAGAGAAATTAAAGAGAGCCTAAGCAAATAGATGGGAACTCTGGTAACATAGTGCCTAAGGCATTTCACTGCTAACCAGAAGGCTGGCAGTTCAAACCCACCAGCCACTCCACTCCTCGGAAGGAAAGTTGAGCAATCTACTTCTGTAGTGATACTGCCTCAGAAACCCAAGGAAGGATTGCTATGAGGTAGGGCCAACTTGACAGCACATAACAACAACAACAAGCAAACAGATATACCACGTTCATGACTGGAAGATGATATTTTTAAGATATTACTTCTCTCCAAATCAATGTGCAGATTCAATGCAATCCCAAATAAAATCCCAGCAGGCTTTTGTATAAACTGACAAGCTGATTCTGAACAGTATATTAAACTACAAAGGATCTAAAATAGTCCATTGTACAAAAGCAGAACAAAGCTGGGGGAATAATACTATCTGATTTCAAGATTATTTCGAGCTACAGTAATCAACCCGCCAGCCACTCCTCGGAAGGAAGGTTGGGCATTCCTACTTCCGTAGTGATACTGCCTCGGAAACCCAAGGAGGGGTCGCTATGAGTCGGGGCCGACTCGACGGCACATAACAACAACAACAACAACAACAACAGTAATCAAGGCAGTTATAGTACTGACAAAGGTTAAACATATAGATCAGCAGTTAACAAACTTTTTCTGTAAAAGGCCAGAAAAATATTTTTACCTCTGCAGGCCACAGAATCTCTATAGTAACTATTCAAATCTGCCTCTGCTGCAGCAGCCCTAGATAACATATAATGAAACGGACATCGCTTTGTTCTAATAAAATATTACCTGCAAAAACAGGATAAGGTTGGATCTGGCTTGCTGATCCCTAACATAAATCAATAAAATATAAAAGAGTCCAAAAATAGATCCACACTATACAATCAACTGATTTTCAATGAAGGTGAAAAGGTGGTTCAATGAAGGAAAACAATCATCTTTTCAACAAAGGGTGGAGAAAAACTAGGTATTACTAAGCCAAAAAGAAAAGACATTTGGCTGACATCATACCATACACAAAAATTAACTTTAAATAGATCATATATCTAATCATGAAGAGAGAAAACTATAAATCATCTGGGAGAATAAAATAGGAGAAAACCTTTTCTTGGGCTAAGCAATTTCTTAAGATGGGATGCAAACAGCATGAACAATTCTGAAAATATTGTTAAATGGTAGTGATTTGAAATTAAAAGGTTTTGCTTTTCTAAAGATAGTATTTTAAAAAGAAATGGAATATTTAAAGAACTCTTATAACCAAATACAACCAACCAAAGAAGACAAAAATCCAATTGAAAATAATAGGTAAAAGATCCGAACAGACACTTCACAAAGGAATATATACAAATGGCCTATAAGCATATGAAAAGATAGTCAGCATCACAAGTCATCATGAAAATTAAAATTAAAACCACAATGAGGTAACACTACACACTCACTAAAATGACTAAAATTAAAAAGCCCAACAATACCAAGTGCTGGTGAAGACATGGAGCAATTGCAACGTTCATACACTGCTGGTGGAACGCAAAATGGTACAGCCATTTGGAAAACACTTTGCCTGTGTCTTAAAAACACACACTTACCATACAAGCCAGCAATTGCACTCCTACGTTATCTACCCAAAAAAAAAAAAAAATGAAAACATGTCTACAAAAACACTTGTACAAAAATGTTCATAGCAGCATTATTCAAAATAGCAAAACATCAGAAATAATTCAAATGTCTATCAACTGGTAAATGGATTAATGTCCATTAACTAGTGAATGCATAAATTCTACATGATTCAATTTATATGAAATGCTAGAAAAAGCAAAACAATACAGTGACAGGAGGTAGATCAGTCACTCTCTGGGGCTGAGGGTTAACAGGAAGGGACTACAAAAGAGCATGAGGTAACTTTTTGGCTGATAGGAATGTTCAATAAATAGCTTGAGTGTAAATGGTGCTCACAGGACATGTATTTGCCAAACTTCATCAAACTGCATTTGAAATGGGTGAATTTTATTGCATGTAAATTGTACCTCAACAGAGTTTTAAAAACTATAATAACCAGAGAGACATTATAAACAACAGATAAAAAGATGAAAAAAATTTAATCTGTAAAGTAAAATTCATCTGGTTTTGCTGATTGTCATGCCTTAGGAGTAGAGACTCCCTCCATTAACGTTAACAGATTTTTACCTGTATAAATGACCCTGAAATGGAGTTAAGTCATCAACAATGAGCAAAATTGTTAAACATGAAAAATGCAAGTTAACTTAGGTTTTAAGAGGTTTAAAAGTTCTTCCTAAACAAGTCTATTCATTATACACATAACATGTCCATGAATCACTGTGCTAGGCACCGTGGCGAAATTCTGAGGGTGACATTTCTACCTTACAGGAGCTTATAATCTTGTACACATACGAACTGTAAAATCTTAGAAAATACATTCAAGGTATCCATCATATAATTCATTATGTAGAAGGCACATATATAAAACTGAAGACAATGATTAATTTGACATGGATTTCATCTGCAAGGAATGTAGTCTAATAGAACTCTAAATAATTATACTGTGACAGCTGTAGACTGGTAAAGAGATGAACGTGCAATGTATAAAAAATACTATGTACCAGAGGGAGACTATACAGAAGAGCCATTTAAGCTGGATCTTAAAGGATTTTGACCAGGCTTAAGGAAAGGCATTTTAGATACAGAAAAAGAACATGGGAAAAGAGTACAGAAGACATGAGAAATATTATCATATTTTGGGCTTGGTAAATAGTATGAGTAGCTAGAGAACAGGATACATGTTAAGAGTAGCAGGAAAGGTAGCTGAAAAGGCAAGTTCTAGGTCAGATATGCCAAATCCATGTCATAGAACTTAAAGAGCAGGCTGTCACATTCTTGAACAGTAACTTTGGCATGGTAAAAGTAGTCTTTTGTAAGACTTGTCTAAAAAGCTTTGCTAGGTAAGGTATACCAGAAACTAGAAGCAAATAAGCAGGCAGGCAGCCCTGCGTGATGAACTGGAGTCAGCCTGTGCCTGAATTTAATCAACTCCAGCATTTACCTGGGATCTTACACTTTCCAAGCCTCACAGGGCTAGTGAGAAATAAGGAACGCGTTTAGAGCGTAAATCCCAAACCAAACCTGTGCTGTGGAGTCGATTCCAACTCAGAGCGACCCTGTAAGACAGAGTAAAACTGCCCTATCGGGTTTCCAAGGCTGTAACCTTTACAGGAGCAGATTGCCACATCTTTCTCCTGCAGAGAGGCTGGTGGGTGTTAACCTCCAATTTTTCGGTTTGCAGCCAAACATTTTAACCACTACACCATTAGAGTTCCTTGTTCAGAACATAAAGCTCCATTGCCATTTAGCAGATTTCAACTCTTAGCCACCCCATAGGAAAGAGTAGAACTCCCCCAAAGAGTTTCCAGGGCTGTAATCTGTACAGAAGCAGACTGCTATATCTTTCTCCCACACAGTGGCTAGTGGGTTTGAACTGAGTTCAAACCAGCAACCTTTCTGTTAGCAGCTAAAAGCTTAACCATCGTCTGACACCAGGTCTCCTTGTTTAGAACATTGTTGTTGTTGTTGTTGTTATGTGCCGTCGAGTCGGCCCCGACTCATAGCGACCCCTCCTTGAGTTTCCGAGGCAGTATCACTACAGAAGGAGGATTGCCCAACCTTCCTTCCGAACATGTTGTTGTTGTTTTGCCGTCGAGTCGGCCCCGACTCATAGCGACCCCGCCTTGGGTTTCGGAGGCAGTATCAC